GTGAACAAATTAAACATTCGTGAGAATGAAAATTCGTGGGTAAGGGTTACCCACGAAATCCACGAACTTTGGTCCCCCAACGAACAATGATGATTCTACAGCATTTGTTTAAAGAACGTCAATTATTTGAATTGATGATAAATTGTTTTTGCTTTTAAAAATTCATTGCATCGACCAAAGATCTTGAGAAATGGTGACTTTAGATAAACTTAGATATCCTTGTTCGATCATTTTTGTCACTTACTTGTTTCAATTTAGGAAAAGTGTCCATGTATATAAAACTCGCTCTTGTATATCGAATCAACTTAGAGATTTTTTTTTTTTTCAAATTCACTTTCATTTATTACTAAAGTTAATTACTATAAAACCCTTTGGTCAACACATTATCATCAATTTTGTGACATAAGCTAGACTATTGTGACGTCACCTTTTTTTTTTTTTTTTAATTCTTTATTTATTTTACATTATCTGTTTCATAAATCATAATACAAAATTTTATTATATTACAGATTGGTTTTTGAGAGAGAGAGAGAGAGAGAGAGAGAGAGAGAGAGAGAGAGAGGTGGCATGTTAACTCCTTTGCATAAATAAGACTATTTCATTTTATAGCATTTTATGAAAACAATTGATTCCACTGATTCCAGTTGGTGTCAAAAATCTCTCTGTCACCATTTTTATATGCTAAATATTTTTGAGTTTCATAAAAAATTTTAATATGTGAAGTCGCAAGTCTGACATCTAATTTTTTCCCTAAACATCTCATTGTATATATATAATATTTTATCCATAGGAACAGCAAGTTATGAATATCTTTGTTTTTTACTAGAAATCCCAAAATAAAACTTTGCTTTGTAAATGAAAGTTGCAACCCTATCCTTTGCTCGCAATATCTTTCAAAACTGTTGAGGAAGGTCTGTACATTGTCACACTCCCATAAAGTATGTATTATTGTTTCTTCTTCCATATTGCAGAAAGAACATAAGTTATTATCTCTTTTTCTTATTTTACATAGATATGAGTTTATACCTAGTATTTTATTTAAAATTCTGTATTGAAACCATTGCAGTTTACTATTTTTTGTAATTTTAAATGGAAGTTTAAGAATCTTCTTCCATTCACTTTCCCCTAAATTGAAAATATCATTCCATCTTGTTTTCCCAGTGGGTTCAATGTCATTTACATTGATTAATTCATAAAACTGTTTTGCTTTTTTACACATTGAAAGAAAATGAGTGCTGGACAAAAATAATGGGCTAGGTAATTTTGCAATTACATCATTAGTGTCTGGTGCTTTCATCCATGCCTTTACAGCATGTATTATACCTGCAAAATCTAAGAAATTAAGCCTTACATTTGGATATATGCCACAAAATTCCTCAAAACTAAAAAAGGAACCATTTTCATCTATAAGATCATTAATAAATCTAATATTCAAGTCATACATATTTTTGTTATAAATAACTTTCCCACCAATGACAATTTTAGGATTATAAAAAAATTGGTATGTCTCTTGCAACCTTGGATACACTATAGTTTTTATTATTTAATTCAATCCAAGCCTCAAAGACATCTTTCCAAAACTTGTTTTTAAGGTTCTTCATGATATTTTTGATATATTCAATGCCGCATGTTAATATTTTTATCAAATCTAGATTAGGTAAAAAATTTTGTAAACCTTTATCTGACAGTATAAGCTGTCTCATCCAAAATAATTTAAGTGATGCAGTGAAAGCTCTAATATTTATCATTTTAAGTCCGCCTTCTTCATATTTTTTACTAGGACATCTTTCTTCACTCTGTGTTGAGGACCATTCCATACAAATGAGAAGAATAATTTTTCCAGTTCCTTCAAAAGGTTTTCTGGTGGATTGGGAATAGCCATTAGTATATGGTTTAGCAGTGGTAAAACAAGAGTTTTAAGAACAGTTATCTTTCCAATAGGTGTCAAATATCTCTTACTCCACTGACTAATTATAGCTTTTATTTGTCTTAATTTTGGTTCATAATTAAGTCTTTCAATTTTATTCAAATCAACATCATAATGAATTCCAAGTAAAGTAAATCTTGTACATCCCCACTTAAGATTATATTCATGACTTAGTATTTCTTGACTAAATCTTTTGGAACCTATCCAAACTGCATGGGATTTCGAACCATTGATATATAAACCAGATATTTCGGAAAATTTCTTTAATGTTTTCATCACTTCTGTTAATGATTCTTTGCTACCATCTAAAAGGATTGAAGTGTCATCTGCTAATTGGGATATTTTCTTTTCCATATTTTTTACAGTAATTCCCTTGATTTTTTTTTATTTTTTCTTATCATTATTGCTAAAATTTCTGCACACAAGATAAAGATATAGGGTGATAGTGGATCCCCTTGTCTACACCCTCTCTGTATATTAAATCTTTGTGAAAAATTACCACTTTGATTAATTGTGGAATTTATATTAGTATAAAACAATTTCATCCATTTTTGTATTGAGGGACCAAAATTAAAAAACTGTAAGGAATTCTGTATAAAATTCCATGAAATAGTGTCAAAAGCTTTCTCAAAGTCAATCAAAAGCAACAAGCCTGGTATATTTTCTTCTTCTGTGTACTGCATTATATCATAAATTAAACGTGTATTTTCTCCTATGTACCTATTAGAAATAAATCCTGTTTGATCACTATTTATTAATTTGTCAAGTTTATTTTTTATTCTGTTAGCAATAGTACCTGAAGCAATTTTATATACAGTATTTAGGAGTGTTATTTGCCGCCAGTTTTTTAGAAATTGTCTTGGCTTATCCCCCTTCGGTAAAAGTGTTATTATACCATGTCTCTGTGTGATAGACATAAGATTATTCTCAGATGCATAATTAATTGATCTTACAACAAAGTATCCAAGGTATTTCCAAAAAACTTTAAAAAATTCTGCTGAGAAACCATCAGAACCTGGTGATTTGTCTGCTTTCATTTTATTTAAAGTGCTAGAAGCCTCCTGTAAAGTAATGAAACCTTCTAATTCTTCAGCTTCTGCATTAGATAATTTTGGAGAATTCTCACTTATTAGATCAGACTCAAATTCTCTTAGTGGTTTACTCAATATAGATTCAGAATATAATTTTTCAGTAACCAGTGGTAATCATTAATTTCTTTTCTAGCAAAATATCCAAACATGAAAATTTGCTTATGTATGTGTTATCTTTTCAAATTCTCTTGGATGCAACAGGTCGACAGATTGATGTAAATCAAAAACCCAAGCATCATCTAAGTATCAATTTTGGATTAATTGTGTGTAAAATCCAATTCTTTTGAACCAAATAATTTTGCAATTCACCATCCATCATTTTTGCAGAAAAAGCGGCCGTCTGTGATGTCAAATACATTGAAATTCATTTAACGTTAATATAACAAAAATTGACCCAACTCCATAATTCTTCAAACGAAGCAAATGTTTTAACAGGGCACAGCTCGGACTCCCAATATTACAAGAAATCAAATCATGTTTAAAGTTAATAGAATTTTCATACTTTATTCCTTTATTTAGAAATCAACTTTCGACCTAATCACAGATGCTCTTAAATGATTGATTGATTGTATATTGTCTAAAGTCCCTCTTGAGAATTTTTTACTCATATGGAGACGCCACCACTGGCCGGTTGAGAGCTGCAAATTTCGTCCTTTACTCACTCAGGGCCATTGAGCAGGGAGAGATCTTTTTCGTGTCAGCACGTACTGCGACATTGAACCTCGGTTTATACGGTCTCATCCGAAGGACCGGTCTTCACGTCCCATAGTGGGTTCGAACCCGCGACATAAGGATTCACTCCTTACTTCGCGACTCTAGAGCAGACGCTATAACCACTGCGCCACACGGGCGACTGCTTTTAAATGAAGTGGAAGAGATAATTTCCATATACTGGTCATAACAGTGTAAGGCTGTTGAAAGGTTGAGGTTATTACGCTTTTCAGACAAGTTTTTGCAAGGGTTGTTGATACCATCTTTTTTCCTAGTGACTTATATTTAAATTTAAAACAACTGTCTCAGACTCAGTGCTGACTTCTCTTTTTGAGCTGGGATTGGCTTTTACGTGCACGTGTTTAATATAGCTTTATGAATTATGAAAAAGGATAAAGATATAAAAAGAAAAAGTGATCGAATAAACAAATTTTCACTATGATCCATTTACAATTGCCGAAAGGAAATTAATAACCTGTTTCATTTTTTTGAAAAGCAATTCATTTATGAAAGTCATGATTTTGGTGTCAGAACAACAGTCTGGCCCCGGAGAGGAATTGATATAATCATCGCTTGACAATAATACATTATACTTGTATAATCTGACGTAAGGTTAGAATAAAATCCGAATAACTTTTTTTTCAAGATTTGGAAAATAGAACAAATAAAATGAAATTAATAAAAAAAAAATCTTTAAAAATAACCAATTTTAACACCGGTAAAGAAGAAATGGAAAACAATAATTATTATGAAAAGGTTTCACGACTTCAATGACCTTAAACAAGAATTAAGCCATAAACAAATAAAAACAATTACAAGTACATGTATAAAACATGTATTTTGAAATCATTTTCCTAAAAACAAGTTACTGAATATTTGATCAACGGAATCAAGAAATACGCTATTAAAAAAATAATAGATACTTTAATTCTATAAACCCGCTTAGGTACAGCTTCACGACATAAGATTTGTCAGTATTCCCCAGAGTTTTTCAAAGAATACTTGTTTGATTACTATAGTTTACTTATTTAAACACTGCACACCTTGTCTTCAACGTAAATATAAACATTTATCATTCTTTTACATATCAAAGATGAAGATGATACAAGTTAATGTATAAAAAAATATAAATGTAAATTCTGTTTGCATGCTTAAACTAATGATCAATAGCATGCCCCGCTTTTTTGTTGTACATCATATATCAACTACAAAAAATCGAATAAAAGGGAGGTTTACAGGTAATTTTATAAAACCGGATATAGCTTATGTAGTTTAACGTAACTGTTGTCATTGTTGTTTTAGAGCTTGCAGAATGGCACATCTGTTCGTTTTTCTTCTCACAGTTGCTTTTTTTGTCAAAGAAAGTTATCAAGGTACAGTTATTCTACTTTTCACATTTTTCATTCATAAACTTGCATGTAAAACGAACGAGATAAGAAAAGTATTACAAAGATTTTTTTAAAGATAGAATTTATTTTCTGAGACTATTTAGGTCGAAAATTGTTTGCCATCCTCATTTTTTCTTATTTATTACCTATTTAGAAGCAACCAGGGATTTTTCAGTTTTGATTACATTTCATGTATCACAAGACACAAATAGAATATGAAGCATCTGTTTCTTTGCAAAGCATGCCATTTTTTCATAGTAAAAATCATGGCTCTATCGAATATTTACTTATATCCATATTCGTTCAACAAATGATGAAGTTTTTAATGTAACTTGTATAAATGATATTATTTTTTTTTCGTTCTTATTCAGCAGGTTGCATTTGCACCGCACAGTATGACCCGGTATGCGGAACAGATGGCAGAACTTACTCGAATCCTTCGTGTATGAGCTGCACGTAAGAAAGAAACGAACATTAACATAGTTCTTTTTTAAGAACTCCAGATTTGTTACAATATATACACATTGGCAAGGACCTTATTTTAACTTTCTCTAGAAAATTAAAATATTTATCAATTAAAAAATATTCAGGGATTGTGAGACTCAATTTTTTAATATAAAGTCATTTTTGTGGTACATTTCAAGACCAATCATACTTTGTCTCTGTTAAATTATTTTACTAGGTTACTTACTGGTAACTTTTCAGTCAAAAAAAGAATATATGTATACATTTTCATGTTATTTTTTATTATCTCCATTATTTCTTCTAGACCAAATGTTCGGATTGCTTGTCGAGGAAGATGTCCTTGTTGTGAGTATTCGAACAATATCTTTCGGCTACAAAAAGCCGATATATAATATATATAATTCCACATGTCCAATTTCTATTTTATTGTAAGTAAAATTATACATTTTTGCTAGAATATCACAAAATATTTTTAAAGCACCATGTATCTGCACTGCTCAGTATGATCCTGTGTGCGGAACGGACGGGAAAACGTACTCTAATACTTCATGTATGCGCTGCACGTACGTAGGCTTTTTAAATTCTTTATATTTTATATTAAATATTATATTAAATGTTTAACGTTTCTGTGCTAACGCTAAATAAAATATGATATCACACTTCTTTATGTTTAATTTTGGCCGTTGAAATTTTAGAGTTAAGTACTCTGAAAAATTAACCTGCAAAGATATGTCTTTTATGGGCGTTTTAGTTTGTTGATGACTTATTCACGGTATTCAAATTAAAAAAAAATAGCTTGACAGAAAAGTACGGATCTAACTTATATAAAGTCGTACCCAATTCGAAATGGATTTTTGACTTTAATATTATATTGTTCGTTATTATGTATTTCATTTAAGATATCAGTTGAAGATTTTTTTGTTAAACAAAGACGGAGAAAGTATCCCGACACAGACTAGAAACGCCAACATGTCTCCAACTTGTTGTTAGTGTTACCGTTTAACATTATTTTAATCCAACTTCCATACCCACTAAACATTGAATATTCTCCATTATATTCATTTCATTAATGAAATTTGAAATAGATGGAGATAATGAATGGTATTAAAGCTTAAAAGTCCGACAATTTTGGGGCTGAGCGAACACGGACCTCCAAAATATCAGAGGTAGGATTAGATGCCATGGAAAAGTGATCATCCCCTGCCGACCGATCAAACCCACCGTGTGCTCCTTGTCATGACAGAGACGGAAAACTCCGTCGACAATTCAGTGTGTAAATAATGGATAAACAATTACTATGAATGATATCAGTCAACTTTTGACTAAATGAACTGACAAAGTCTGTTGTTTAAGGGACCCCTGTTTGCTCTACTCCTGATTCATATTGTTCGAATAAACTTTTGAGCTTAATTATACTGTCCGTTTTCTCCATATATATTTCATCTCTGGGGCAATTTTAAAGACGAAGCTATAAATTTTAGTTTGAAACAAAATATTTTATCTTTTCATACAGGCCAGGTGTGAGAGTTGCCTGTAAAGGTGAGTGCCCCTGCCCACGGCCCTGTAACTGTAAGGGTAAGCCTAAGTCCCCCGTGTGTGGAGTAGACGGCAGGAATTATGATCATCCTTGCTGGGCACGGTGTCAGTAAGTTAACCTTAATTATATTATTATTATGTACTTTAATGAGCTATAGTATTGTTATGGAAAAAAAGAAATAAACTAATATGTATTGACTTAAAAATGTACTGCCATGAAATATTTTGTTTTAAAAAAATGACCTTTAGTCATTTGCTTATTGAAAATTGTACTTTAAAACCATCTATTTTATCTCATTTACAAAGCTTTAACATCTCTAACTTTACATTTAACTGATCGTATTAGCGATACGTTTAAAATATGTGATTGTGATTGTAAAAATTGTGAATTCTATCAGATTCGAGTGCTGTCTTTTCATAATTATTTTTTTTTTTCAATTTTTAACAGCAATATAGCAGTACAGTGCAATGGATACTGTCCCTGCAAAGGATATGGAAAATGAAATAGTATCAAAATCTTATTTTGGTGAAAATTATGAAGTGACAGAAATAAATAATCTGTTATAGACTTATTATTTGTTATCTTACTTTTAGAATGCAGTTCTAAATCAAATTAAATGTAAAATAAGTCTGATGGATGATATGACGAAAAAAGAGCAATTTTTTTCTTGCAAATAGAATAATTACTCTAAACGTAATTTTTTTTCTCTCCTACAAGCATATGAGTCGCCCGCGTAGCGCAGCGGTTAGAGCGTCGCAAAATTAATAGTCGATCCTTGCGCCGCGGGTCTGAATCCCAGTGTTAGTCGTGAAGACCCGTCTTTCGGATGAAACGGTAGAAATCGAGGTCCCGTGTTGCAGTTTGTGCTGGCACGAAATAGATCCCTCCCTGCACAATGGCCCTGAGTGCCGAGTATATGACAAAATTTGCAGCTCTCCACCGGCAAACGGTGGCGTCTCCATATGAGTAAGAAATTCTCAGGAGGGACGTAACAACATACAAATCAAGAAAAAGCTGACATATGATTATTGCAATTTAGAACCTCTTGGTTTTTATTCTATATTTGATATCAAACTCATACACAGTGGTCAGTAACATTGAAAATACACCAAAACCACATACTTCTATCTACCCAACCTGTACTTCACTTTTAAAATTCTGCATCAGTATCAGCATTAAAAATTAGCATTACCAAGATCAGCAGCAACAAGCAAAGGATAACATGAGCTTGACCTACTTAACACCAGAATTGACCTACTAATTAACATAAAAATATCAATGAGGTTTTATTCAGAAAAAATGACAACACAGAAAGGAAATTAGTTTAGGTATTAAAATCATTTATACATCACGAGATATTATGATCAAATAAGTATATAAGTATATGAAGCACTTTTATTGCTTTAAACGGCAATGCGTCAGAATTCAATTATTTATTTCTGGCAGGATGATGCTACTTCCGTTAGCATTGACCAAATTATGCTACAGCATCAGGATAAGCATTACAAGTATTAAATCCGAAAAAAGGCAGCTTTCTATTCAGCAAGCAAAAAGCACAGTGTTTAATGATAATTTGAATGTATGTTTGATATGAAACATACACACATATAATATAGTTTATAAATTAGGTATTAAAATCTCAATAAAAAGTTTACAAAAGATGAAAACAGAATCAAGGCAAGGAAGAAATTCAGCAAACAAACTAATGAAAAATGCAGGAAGATAAGTTGACAAATAAAGAAGGATAAATCATAAAATTTGTCAGAAGTTAATATGCCCGTGAATTCAACATGTTTTATATTAAATTCTAAATTCTTTCTGTGCAAATTTTAAAAATAATCGATCCGGAAGAAAATAGGTAGCTTTAGAAAAGAAATTAGAATAAGTGTTTTTTTTTTTTTGAAAAATTATGAAATAGTGAAACCTTTCAAAAATTGTTTCCGTGCATTCTTTTGTTGAAAATGAAAAAAAAAAAAAGAAATCGGTCCAAAACAAATTTTACTATTTTACTCCGTTTGTCCTTTTTCAGAAGAAGTTTCATAAGTGTTAAATGTTTCGGAAGTTTACAAAATCTTTAGCCTTCTTGAAAGTACAGTAGCCCATATTTTTAAAATTTTACACAATAATAGAAAAAATCTATTTCATGTTCATGAGAATTATTCTATGAATCCTACCATAGCAATTAATATTTTATTAAAATTGTTTTAGGAAATTTAAAAAGAAATATAAAGCAAAATGTTTTTCGATGATAATTAATCCTAAGAATTTTGTTTGAATTAACCCTTTAACTTCAATATTGAGAACAAATGTAGGTACAGGAGACAAAAATGTGACAGAGAGGTCATCGGAGCAACTTATTGCCACTATATGTTTAAGGGATTTTTCATCCAACCAAAGTCTTACTAATGCTCTTTTAACAGGTGGAAATAGTTTTAATTTTTTGATGGGATACCCTTATTTTTGAACTTGCAAAGAGTAAGTAAACACTCAAAATTTAGTTTGCCAAATAATGGAAGATTCAAAACACTATCGGGCAAATATTGACAACACTTTCAGAAACTTTGTACAGTTAAAATTTGATGTATATTTGAAATTTGTGTAATTCTTAGGTAAATATTTAAAAGTTACTCAATTGTAGCTCACCTGAGCCAATTTGCAGTGATATCATGTAGATTTTGTCTGCCGTCTGTCGGAGTTGTCTTCGTTCCATAATCAACTTTTCTTAAACCACTAGGTCAATTTTTACCCAGCTGACCACAAAGAAATTTTGGATAAAATGAGCTTACATTTGTTTACATTATAAGGAATCTATCCCATCTCAAGACGGTTACATATAAATACACTGCAAACACGGCGGGTGTGATCGTTGGCATTGGTGCTAACTCTTTCATGAATCCTGATGTCACCACCCATGTTCTGGAGATCTGTGTCTGCTCTACTCCAAATTTGTATCGGTTAATGGACTTTTGAGTTTGAATACTGTTTGTAATCTTTTATATATTTCTAAATTATGAACGCTTCGTAGTATTATAGTCAGTTTAAATTCGTTTAAATAATGGTTCCTGGAGAAAAGGTGGTTGCAACTAATTGATATCCATGTTGTGAATAGTAATTCGGTGGAAAAATTCTCTGGTGATAAATAAGAGGGACAATATCTTCTCGAGTGGGCCTTTGTGCCTTTTTTGGTTAATATTTGAAATATCATCCCATGTAAAAGCAATATACACACCTTTTACTCGTCCAAGTAGCTAATACTAAAAACCATCCAAAATATTAAGTGGTTATGATCACCAAATGACAAGATACTTGCTTCTAAGTTCAATTCTAGGTTCAATTTTCTTTCGCTGCGCTGTGTGAAGCCTAAAACAAAGGGAGTAGCTGTTTTCTCGCAAATCACCCTGAGCTCTAGCGAATTAGTCGTGGATCTTGAAGGATGAGACGGGGGTTTAGTGTCATTGTGGGCATTTGCATATTGAAAACAAGAGGCCCATGGGCCACATCGCTCACCTGAATACTGGACTAGCTATAAAAATAAATCAGCTTAGTATTGAAAATTTTACTTGTTAGGGGAGAGAGGATTTTAATTTTTTATTACTTGATAATGTCACTATTTCAATAAAGCATACCTGTATAATTTTGCCATACATGCGAAGAAGAGTTTTAAAGATATATCCTATATACATGTATTTCTATGTAAATAAAGTATTTGATTGCCCATCATGGCCATACCTTACCCCCAGGGGTCATGATATGAACAAACTTGAATTAACTCTAACTGAGGATGTTTCCATATTAATATTACCAATCATAGTTTTGCTGATCTTGAGAAGAAACATTTAAAAAGATTTGTCCTATGTATTCCCATGTAAAAATTTGATCAGCCATGGCAGCCCCGCCCTATCCTTGGCGGTCATGATTTGAACTTGACTCTTCACTACCTGGGGATGCTTCCACATGAGTGTCATCTTTATGGTTTCATGGATTTGGAGAAAAAGATTTTTTAAAGATTTTTTCCTATATATATAACCTCTGGTCCGTCATTGTCGGCAATGGTTCTGGAGAAGATTTTGTTAAAGATGTCAATAATTTTTCATTTATTTATAATTATATCCCTTTGGAAGAATTTAGCTTGGTCCTGCATTTGAGCAAACTTGAGTTCCCTATACTCAAGGATAATTTGTGACAAGTTTGGTCGAAATTGGCCTAGTGGTTCGTGAGAAGAATTAAAAAATGTGAAAGTTTACGACAACAACGACAACGACAGACAACGAACAAAATTTTATCAGAAAAGCTCACTTCGGCTCAGGTGAGCTAAAAACACTGCTCAGTGTTAAAAATGCGACGCTACATTTACTGTCATGGGACTATTATCAATCTTCGTATTGCTTAAATTTAGCAAAACAAACCCCCAAAACGGAAGTTTAAATTGTTTATCGATTGTGAATTTGATAGATATTATCTTCTAGAGCAGGAAGTAAATTCATGTATCAATAAGTATGTAAATATCTGTCAAGAAGTCCGCAGATATTACTAACTGGTTATCTATACTCCAACATTAAATATTGATTGGCATTTCAGTATACGTTTTAGTTTTAACAGCTGGCCAAGGTCTGCATTATCTAAAAGATTTCATTCCAGAAACTTTCTCAAATCTACTTTTTTCATTAAAATATATACTACTTACGATATTTGAAAGGTTGTTATAGAGTAAAATAAACTTTAAAAACGATAATGATAAAACACAGAAAAAAATGTTTTTAAACATGCGCTTTGTATTTAAGTCTACTATACGTGTATATATATAAATTACGATTGTCCACATTTATCGATTTTATTTCTTTAAACAGATAATATTAAAACAATTTTACACAGGAAATGGTGTCTGCACATTCTAAAATAAAGAAACGTTATTCATTATTTGAAAAGAGGCTATATAAATGTATGTGCGATTTCTATAACATGGATCGGAATATGTAAAGGAAATATGAATTAACTTGAAGTGCTTATCTGCCACCCTATGTTCATCGTTAGAAACCTACGGCTGATAATGCTTCGTTCCTGGCGTAATCAGCATAAGGTTTCATACGTCTTCATATAGTTAATAAGTTGGAGGTTAGACATGGGGAAAATTTTATGTGATATTTCTTTATTAGTAAGTGGATTAATGATTACAACAAAAGTTTAAAATACCATGTATTGTGATTAAAATTTTTAATAAGATTCAGTTAATAAATATCCATTGGGACATTTAACTGTGCTTCAATTACAATTTACCTCAATACTATTAACTGAGAACATAATTCTAGCTTTGAATATCTCGAACTTTATTAAACATACCAGGGGTGATAAAAAGGTTCGCGAATTATTTGAATAACTTTCATCAAAAAAAGTTTTTCAGTATTGATTTGTTAAGTATTCCTTACTAATGTTAACCATTCTGCCTATGCACGAATAACA